GAGTTTTGTGTGACAAGAATGTGCCTCTAAAACTTAAGGGAAAATTCTATAGAATGACAATAAGACCAGCGCTGCTCTATGGATCAGAATGTTGGGCAATCAAGAAGGATCACGTAAGGAGGATGGAGGCCACAAAAATGAGAATGCTTCGATAGGCATGTGGTAGGACTCTGTGGGACATGACACCAAACTCTGCTATTAAGAAGTCCTTGGGGGTGGTGCATGTATCCGAAAAATTGAGGGAGGGAAGACTACGGTGGTTTGGGCATGTCCTTAGGCGACAACCGTCGGATGCAGTCAGGAGGGTAGAGTCGATTACAGTTGACGGTGCCAGAAGGAGATGACGACCAAGGCGGAAGTGGGAAGACTGCTTGAGATCTGATTTGAAGGATTTAGCACTTACCGAAGACATGACCTCTGATAGGAAAGTATGGAGACTTAAGACCAGGGTAGCCGAGTAGTGCGGGTCACATCCATAGGGTGTATCATCTCTGTCTCCTTTTAATGCCTTTGTTGTAATTTTCATGGCTTCTACTTTTTATACGTTTCTATCATTGAAATGTATGAAGGCTTAGAACTAGGGTAGTGGAGTAATGTTGTCTTAATTTAGGTTTTAACCCATTTGACTTGTTTCCTTCTCGTAGCTTGCTATCGTTGACTACTGTGTATCAATCTCTTCATGTTTCCCCTTTTTAAATTTAGTCGGATCTTACTTTTCTGTATATATGTAGAGATTTTTACGCAATGATATATTTACAGAGATTACTTCCCATTACAGATCGCGCATATGAATATTGCATATAACGACTATTTTAACTATGTATTGATTTATACATGCATTGCATTTTATCTTTATTTTTAATTTTCTGTCTGTCGAATGTCTTCCACGGAAGCTGCTCTTAACCTGATGTTGAGACAACCTATTACCCTCCCTCCCCTTATCCCTTTACATATGAAAATAAGATTTTATTGTAATTCTTGTTATTGTACTGTAGCTGCAAAGTAGGGTGGGGTCCTGTGGGACCCGGTGGTGTGCCCACGGTTAGAAATCTACGGTAAGGGTAGAAGTATAAATTCGTCTCCCCGTTTTGTTGATTTTTTTTACCGGATATACCCCCTAAAGGAGCACCAAATGAAATTGGGAAGTATCTGGGAAATATCTGACTTCACACTCTTGACGAATACGACTGAATCCCAATGAACCAATTACTGCCTGACACGTATCAATACGTTTTGGTTCTCTACTCGGAACTGGATTTAATTTTTACTCGTAAAATTGTAGGAGTAATATAACATGAATTTTTAGAAATAAATAAATAAATGTATAGAAAGATGTTTACATATTTCAAATTTTTAATTTGTAGTCGAAATGAAGAGAGCTAATAAGGTTTTTCTATAAATGTATTAAGACTCTATTTATTTTTATTAAAAGTAATTTTTAAAAAATGGTTAATATCAAATTATGTATTTATAAAAAAAGGAATTCATCGTATATATAATCTTATATTTTTGGATTTCGCAAGAGTATTTACAAGAAAAGTTCACTGAGTTAGAAATTCTTTTTGTTAATCAACTCGTTTTTATGAAACAAACATTAAAAAATATATGTGAAACGAATATCTCTAAATTTTCGATTATTATAAAAGTAATTTATTGTGTTGGAGCAGATTTATCGTAAGGATAGTCGTGTAAATGTAATAAAAATTAATGCCAAAAATAAAAGACTTTAAATCGTCCCATCACGTGTAAGGTTTTAATAAGATTATGACACGTAACACATTACGTGGAAAGGATGGGTTCCATGCAACATCTGTTTTTCACTTATGCTGCGGAATCATTTCATTTATAGGCCGTAAAGTCTGACACTTTAATCCTTTGATGATATATTATTTATGATGATATTTTAATAAAAAAAAAGGTTTGATAACCGTTCGTGGAATACAAGCAGAGTCAGGAAATTATCACCTGGTAATTTAAATACACGATTTAAAAAAATATTATTAGTTTTGTTATTATTTAAGTAATAAAATTATTAAAAAATTATCAAAAATATTATTATTTTTATTGATTTTATTATTATTTGACGTTTTATCAGTTTTGTTAATAAAACCGATAAAGCGCTTCCGATTTTGTTATTTTTTTCTACCGATTTTGTTATTGTTGGGCACTTTATCGGAAATGTTAAAAAATATTGATGTTTTAGATATAAATAATAATTTTTTAAATAATTTTTTACCAGTTTTATTATTTAAATAATAACAAAATTGATAATATCTTTTTTTAATTATATATTAAGAGTGTTGCACTGTAGAACTTCATGTGTAGTCACAAATCAACTATAACAATTGATTTCAAAACTTTCCATGTACCATTAAATGTAATACCTTCGGTATCTACTCAAATAAAAAGTATTATATTTCCATAAATAAAGCGATTTTAGTAATTAAATAAATGATTATCATTATAAGAAGTTCTAGATTTGAATGTTAACGATAGTAAGATATTTAAATGTTTATTATTAAATAATTGAAAATTTTTAAAATTAATATACCCCTTGCAATCACCTTATATTAACCGGAAAAAAAAGTGTCACATTGGTTATTGAAAAAAATTTAAATATTAAAATGTATTTAAAATATTTAGTTTTTTTAATAATGACAACGGAATCTCGTTAATGAAAATAATTGAATGAATTAAAATTATATATCCAATGAGAAAATTAGATACAATAATCACAAAAAATTCATATAAAAATAAAATATTAAACCCAAATATACAAAGAAAAAAATTGAAGTATTCCATTGAAAATGACATCCAACACAAAGAAACCAGCAACCTTCATAAAACCTATTGTCTTTCTCGAACGTGACGTTTTACAAAATGAAAAAGAAGCGGTGAGTGAATCAGACAATTTAACAGTCTGTTTTGCTACACGATTCTGATTATATCGGCAAACAATATTTTATCAAAGAGGGGATCTAACAATACTTGACATCTAATAAACCAATCAAAAAATAAATATCGTGAGGATCTTTGTGCAAACACCAATGCGATCAGTCTATCACATAGGCATGTGAAAAACTTATAAAAAATTATAAGGAACATGTCACAAAAACAAATAAATCGTCATCATAACAAATATTTTTATATAAAATTAAAAAATAAGAAAAAACAAATGATATATTATGAAAAAAAAACAAAATAATAATAATCACTGGTAATTATGAATTCTAACTATATTTTTAAAATCTTAAGAGAAACGTAAGAATTGATGTGATTATACGGGTAATTACACAATTTAATATTATGCCACGAAAGTGGTCCTGATTTCTCGAATAGAATAACCCTAATGACTTTTAAGCATCATATAGGAGTATTTCCATGGGTTGTTCACTTCTCATACATTTATAGGAGTAATTTTATTGTAATAATAATAATAATAATAATAATAATAACATTAGCATTTGTCAAATTATGTTATTTTAAATAAAATTATTCCAAAAATAATGAATCTATTTATATTGATTCATTGTTACGTGCTTTGTAATTAGATAGATAACTAATTGGATGTAAACTCGTTAGATGTTTTTATTTCATTATAATTCAACATTTAAATAGTTATTATCATATTTAAATAGTAATTTAATATTTAATATATTATATTATATTAATATTGTTTTTATGATATATATAATATTATTTGTAGACATCTAACTCATAATATAAATTTGATTGAGAATGTTTGATGGTGACAAAGTAAATTTGAGTCAATTTTGAGTTTTATTTTTTAAAGGAAGTTTGAAAAGTAAGCTTATGACAATGAAATTGTTATAAGTTATTTAAATTTACTAGAATTTGATTTGATAATAAACATATTAAAACTTAAAATTTCATGATTATCTTACTTTTTAAATTTTCTAGAAGATGAAAAACAACATTGTTATTGATAGTTATGTTACAAGTTAATCATCATCTACGAGCGAGTTTTAAACTCTAAAACAGTTTTTAATAATTAAAATAATAACGTTAATCACTATAAAATAATATGTTAAATATAAAGTGTTTATAATATAATAGAAATAATTATACAAACAACTCTTTGAGAGACTCACATAACAAAGTAAAGTGTGCGATATAGATCAATCCGAAATAGTTAGGATGAAGTCATGGAATTGAGAGGACAACAAAAAAAATATTTAATTTTATATTTTACCAACTAAATACTATTATTTGACATCTTCAATTTTAAAAACCTTATTTACATTTTATAAAAAAATCCCTTATTTACACAAATAATTTTATATTACCATCAATAAAAAATCATTAATTTGCTTTAACGAAAAAATCATTAATTTGAAAATTCGTAAATAAAAAACATAATCTCAAGCATAGAAAAGATTCACTAATTATTAACTCATTGGTCCAAATATAATTATATATAAACTTTTCGTAGTATGTTTGGTATTCGATGTAAATATAAAAAATTAGTATTTAATATAAATCGGTATAAAATAATAAGATACTATTCGCATGAAATTGAATTATCCTTGCAATCGAACTAATAACCTTTAGAATAACAAAGATTTTTTAACATCTAAAATAATATTAAAAATAATCGTTAAATATATATTATCATGTATTTATCTTAAATTATTTATTAAAAAAATATTCACATTATCAAGAATAATATGTGCTAAAAGATTTCATTATAAGCTACATTCACGTTTCAACATTTTTTTCTATAAAAATACCTGTTGTGAGATCATCCATCGATCAGATCTGTTACCATACAAACAATTGCAGGGGATGTGGCTTTGAATGTGCACGCAAACGCACGAAGTTCCACTCCACACTCAAACTTTATCACCGTTTATTCTGTACGGATAGCGAGAAGATATATCTTAGGCCACGTTGTTTTACCAGCCACTGCCGGTAACTCTATCCTTTCCGCTTCACAGCATTTACCTTTTTTCCCGGTTTAATCATCCTCTGACAAAGACTTTTCGAGATATATAAAAGGTTACCCAGATTTCTTTGTGCACTTCTCGAAACTGTGAACTCATCGTTGAGGCTGATCTAGTGCTCGTACCCTGCAGATCGCTCCCCGTAAGTGCTGACCTTAAGTTTTAGTTTTCCTTCTTTTCCTCTTTTATCCTTTTAAATTTGACGAAGCCAGAATCATTGATTATCGATCATCTTTTGATTATCTGTTGATGTGACTGATTTTCTCTTGTTGTTGTTGTTTATGATTAATTGTTTCTTCTACTCATCGCATGGGTATGCTACGGTTGATAGGGTTTTCTGATTCTCTGTTTTCTTTGATTAATTTCTGATGTATGGTTCGATAGTTGCATGATTCGTTGTGTAAGTTGCTTTTTGTTAGATTGTTTTCAGTTGTCGGTTGATACTTGATATTGAGTCGGTGAAACTTATTTATTGGTTTTTGTACCGTCCGATAACGAAAAGATATCGTAAAGTATACAACACAGTATCGGTGTTTTGCTGAATCGGTTGACCTGCATGTGCTGCAAAAGTTTCTTAGATGCGATTATTATTAATCTTTAAAATTATTGGCTTGCGTTTCCATTACGATGTTTTCACTTTTCAGTGAATTTTTGGTGTGAGGGTAATATAAATTTGGTATTCTCTTTGAAGAAAATTCTCTTAAAATGTTATTTTCATATTGTTTCTTTGTCAAACTTTGCATGTTATCTTAATACTATGGAATTGCTTGATTTTTTTAATAGTTAATTTGTAAGTTTATAGTTTATTCAGTTGTTTCTTATTTGACTGCTTTTACTATTACCTTCTTCTAACCCACTCTATTTCTCTACAAGGAAAGCAAGTTTATGGAATCCCCTATTTAATTTTCTCTGGCTGTTAAAGTAATTAATTCTATTAACTTTAGGAAATATTGAAGTCTGGGCAATGGCTGATAACGGGGAAGGAGAGGAAAACATTCCACGTGGGAACGAATGGGAGGTTGTATCCCTTACTGCATCTGCATATGCTGCCGCTTCTGGTACAAAAGAAGTTGAAACAAAGGATGATAGAAAAGGTGATTCATATGAAGTTGAAGAAGCAGAAACTTCTCGTGCTTTATTCATGTCTGGCCACTTTGTTTTTCCCCCCAGCGAGCATGAGAATTTGCCACTAGAACCCGATGATACTAGTGAACATGTAGGCAAGGGCGTGGTCCCTGAATCTGGTGTTGTAGAAGAAGGTGATAGATCTAAGACAAAGGATGAAGAAGATTGGTCTTTGAAAGATTTGAATGTACATGATGAATTTCCAGGTATGCAATTTTTTGATAAGAAACATGGTACAGAGTTTGAAGAAGGAACGACACTGCAAGAACTGAATTTGATCAACAAGGACCAGAGTTTGTATGGTGCTGCTACATTTGGTTTTTTCCATAGCGAGGAAGAACTCGATGGATCAACGACTGCTGTTTCTGAGCTTATTGAAGCTTCTGAGCAAGACTTTGATTTTCCTTCAGACATGCCCGAGTCCCCAAAGCCTTTACAGGATGATAAATGGGATGACTCTGATCTCCCTTGCGAAGCTTGGTGGAAGAGAAGAGCAGTTTCATTGTATGCTCATGCAAAGGAGGCAAATGCATTTTGGTCCGTTTTTGTTGCAGCAGCTGTGATGGGCCTTGTGATTCTTGGGCAGCGTTGGCAGCAAGAGAGGTGGCAAGCTTTGCAACATAAGTGGCAGCTGAGCATCAACAATGAGGTATACTTACTGCTAATTGGTCCTTTCAGATTTAGCAAGGATGCATATTTTTACTTCTCTTTGCATCCTGTAAAGTTAATGTTGCTTTGATTTTTCATTTTTCTTCAAGTATGTGTCTGGCTCTTAGCTGAATATATGTACGAGGATATGACCCCTCAAAGATGTAGAAAAATTTAAATAAATAAATAAATATACGTGTGTCGGGCGCACGTCCACATCAGATACTTGAGTGCAAGTGACATTTCCATAAAACATTTACTTTTGTGATGGAAGAGGTTTTGAAAAGGCCGGTTCTTCATTTTGCCTAGTGTTTTCATATTATCATGAATATGTGTGTTTATAAACAAGAATATGGGATCTGAGTGTCAGTAAAGTTGGCTGTGTAACCTGTTGCAAAAGGAAAACCTATTGTTTGGTTGGACAAAGTAGAGAGGAAATAAAGAGAAGTTATAAAAGTAGTCCTGTACGTTATTATTAATTGGTTTAGAAAACGTACGCTTACCTACTATTTTATATGTTTTACTAAAGCTGCCAACTGTAGTATATCTTGCACGTTAAAATTGAAATTTTTGGAAGCTGGAATATCTGTTTGTTGTAGGCGGCTGTCTTAGAGCTAAACTGTTCTAGTACTGTGCATCTTGAGCATGCTGCATTCTTAATTCTCCATCCCTTGCTTTCTCCTACCTATTTTTGCTTCGGATATTGACATTTTTCCCTTACCTTTTGGGTTTTGACAGAAGACTGGTAAGGTGATTGGTTCCATATATCGCCTTAAAGAAGTCATCGTCGGTGGCCACCGCCCTGGTTCTTTTGTGAGGGGCACCTTCCCTAATGACTGTTAAAACTTGTGATGATGATGAAAAAACATATCGAGAGAATGACATGGAGATTGATTTGGGTGTTGATATGTTAGTTTGCTGTTTGTGTTGTCACCGTTGTCTGCGATTTGTGTTTATCTTTGTTTATATTGTTTAGGTGTCCCTTTGACCTTTAACAACGATTCCTTTCATCTTGTGTCATAAAGCAAGTAAAGAACTTGGACTTTCGAAGATGTTCATTTTCCGATCTTAAATTTGAATCACATGCTCTTAAAAAAATTGCAACTTCAATTCTTCTTTGATAACGAGCTTTTTCTTTTTTTAATTTATTCTCTGAACTTGGTGTTTTGTTCAATTTAGTCCTCTAGTTGTAATTCTTTGTAAATATTTTATCCTTTTCAATTCTTTAATTCATTTATATTCTCATTAATATTTTATTCAATTTTTATAATAATTTTATAAAAATATTATATAACTTTATATTATCTTATTAAATAATATTATAAGTTTAGTTACACATGAACATATATGATATATATGTATACATTGTATACGATTAAAAATAATTTAAATTACAATCAATAGATATAATAATATTATAAATGAATTGATTTAAATTTGAATATAAATTTAATTTGATTTAAAAGTTATGATTTTGATTTAAAAAATTTGTTATATTTGTATGATGAAATAATATTTTTAAATTTAGTTAACTTAAAGTTCTTTTATTGAATAAATGATACGTGTGAATAATTAATATGTCATCCTCGTCCTTATTATATATGATCATTACTTGATAGATTGATTGTAGAGTAATACTTTTTATTTAGGTTTAATGGTATCTTAAGATAACTTTAAGGGATTAAAAATAAGTGTATAATTTTTTTTGTTATATTTTTAGATGTTTGAGCGGTAATGATTGATGAATGTTAAATTTGACTGTCATTAAACATGTGATAATATATATTTTTCTTGAACATTTTATTATTTTTAAAAAATAAAAAAAATTATTTTTAAAAGAATTTATTTTTTATATAAAATTATAAAAAAAAATACTCAAAATATCCAAATACCCAATACCCTCCAGCCGCCCCCTTCACCTTTTGTTGAAAATTCATCCCCCTCCGATCACCTAGATCGACGACCAACCGACACCAAACACTGACGACCGATGGACACCCTAACACAAGCAAGCACGACCAGGACTCGTAATACTTAGATAATACTCCCGCTAATAAGGTTGCAAATTGACAATTCTCCGGTCCCCTCTCACTACTGTTGCATATTGGCAAACCTCTCGCCAACACTTTGACAGCATTTTCTTCACACAATTTTGAATCCTTCTCTCCCATTTGAAATGAAAGCTTCAATAGTAAGATGAAATGACCAAGTGATGTCGTGCAGCTCACACCTTGGCAACGCTTTCAACTACTTCAGAGGTAGATGAGTTTTGAGTTGAAGACGCAGCTCGGGTGTCCCTTCGGGCGGCAGAGGATCGTCGTTGGCTCGATCTGTCGTAATAAAAGTTCTGATTCTTTAAGGGGACTGCGTCTAGGTTCAATTCCAGATCTGTTTCTTCGATTTCCTTGCCTGTTCGTTCAATGGTTTCTGGTTTTGCAAGGAATGGAAAAGTCGATGCTTTGAAGGGGAACTTCTTTTCGTTTTGTTTTCCTTTAGGATCAGTTTCTTATCCGTAATTTATTCCGAAATAATTTTAACTTAAAATCTTTATATTTGTTTCATTATGCGATCATTATACTTATTATAAATTATATCTGAATCGTCTCAGCAATGCATTATTGAAAGAGAGTCAAATACATTACATGCATAAAATAAGAGTCTCATAAAATGCATTTGATTTCTTTCTCATTACCAGGAAATGCAGAGAGGGAAACGGGTTGGGGACACTTTTTCTAACGTAGACAAAGCATTTAAAGACAAGCAAAGGTCAAACTTGTATGATCCCTCGAATCTCTGTACTTGGTTTGTATTTTTTTTTTACTGATAATTGTACAGAAACTGGATAAAATATCGTATAAATTGTAGGTGGTGGCTGGTGGGTTTGCTCATCCAACACTAACCAGAAGCCCACATGCACTTAAAACTACCCCATTTTCCATTTAAAAGGGAACAAGATGATATACATTCCGTTATCTTTGTGTTTGATCTGCCTTTTGCTTCACCTTTGCCTTGTTTTTTGTTTGAATTTATCAACTAAACTCATTCAACTCCATTCATTCAATGCTGAATTAAAGTCCCTCTATCCTTCCCTGCAGAAATTAGGTGAAAAAATTTCGGGATAAAAGGAGAGAGTTGAGGGTTTCAACGGTAGGTAAACTGGTTAGGGCTTTCCTTTGTTTCTCCTTTAAGAAGTTTCAACGACCTCTCAGCGCATTTATGGCGGTGCATCTGATGGTTAGAGGATGAGATTAAAAAAATAAGAGAAATAATGGTGTAGTACTCAAAGGTACAGTCTGCCCTTAATTATTGCCTTCTTATAGTTTCACCTATAAATCCTCTTTCTATATACTCCATAATACTATCACTGTCTTCTTCTCCTTCTTCTTCATACAGAAGGAAAAAAACAAACATAGCAGAACCCTTATCTTTTAGTTTTTACGTATAAATATCTCTTTCAGGGTTTCGAGTTTCCAGATTTCCTTTTTAATAATACGCGAGTTTTTTTTCTCGGGGAAATTTGAGCTAGGAGCGGGGTTGTTTTGTTGTAGTTAGAGGCAAGTATGGATATATCGACTGCTTGCTCCTTTTGGCGGCGATCATGGCTTACCTACTATGGTTCACGTTCATCTCACGGTCGTTAAGTGGTCCACGTGTCTGGCCTCTGTTTGGCAGTCTGCCGGGCTTGATCGAGAACTGCGACCGCATGCATGATTGGATCTCCGACAACCTCCGTGCCTGCTGCGGCTCGTACCAGTCCTGCATTTGTGCCATCCCCATCTCGGCTCGGAGATAGGGTCACGTGCGACCCGAGGAATTTGGAGCACATCCTCAAGTCTTGTTTCGACAATTATCCCAAAGGTCCCACATGGCAGGCCGTGTTCCATGATCTGCTCGGTCAAGGCATCTTCAACTCCGACGGCGACACGTGGCTCTTCCAAAGTAGGACCGCAGCACTGGAATTCACCACCAGGACTCTTCGTCAAGCCATGGCTCGATGGGTCAGTCGAGCCATCAAGCTACGGTTCTGTCCCATTCTCGAGGAAGCTCAAAACCAAGGGCGGCCGGTAGATCTACAGGACGTGTTGCTCAGGCTCACTTTTGATAACATTTGCGGCTTGGCTTTTGGAAGGATCCGCAAACATGCGCCCAAGGGTTGCCCGAAAACGGCTTCGCTTCGGCTTTTGACCGAGCACTGAAGCCTCTGTTCAAAGGTTTATTTTGCCTGAGGTTTTATGGAAGCTCAAGAGATGGCTCTGGCTTGGCTTAGAAGTGAACCTGAGCCGAAGCCTTGTCCACATGAATGAATATTTATCCAACGTCATAAATTCACGTAAGCAAGAATTGCTTAGTCAGCAAAAGGATGGAAACCCGCACGACGATTTGCTTTCCAGATTTATGAAGAAAAAGGAATCATATTCGGACGTGTTTCTCCAACACGTGGCACTCAATTTCATTTTGGTTGGACGTGACACGTCAACTGTTGCTCTCAGTTGGTTTTTTTGGCTCATCATCCAACATCTTATAGTCAAGATAAAATCTTACGTGAAAATTGCACTATTCTAATCGAAACTTCAAATCTTGACTGATTGATATATTTGAAGGTAATATTGTCAAAAACCCTAAAATTATACCTTTTGGTGTCGAAGGATTCAAAGCATGTGGTGATTGATGACATATTGTCAGATGGAACATTCGTTCCGTTCCGACAAGATCATCGGTGACATATTCAATATATTCAGTAGGAAGAATGAGGTCAACATGGGTGACGATTGTTTCAAGTTTTGTCTCCAAAGGTGGTTATCAGCCGACGGCGGTGACATATTCAATATATTCAGTAGGAAGAATGAGGTCAACATGGGAGACGATTGTTTCGAGTTTCGTCTCCAAAAGTGGTTATCAGCCGACGGGAAGGAGTTCATCAAGCACGACTCCTACAAATTCATGGCATTCAATGCTGGACAGAGAATATGTTTGGGGAAAGGCTTGGCTTATCTACAGATGAAGTCGGTGGTGGCCGCGGCACTGTTGAGGCATAAGCTGACGTTGGTCCCCGGCCATAAGGTGGAGCAGAAGATGTCATTGACATTGTTCATGAAATACGGGCTTAAAGTTAACGTGCACGAGAGAGATTTGGGAGCAATAGTTGAAAAGATTATCGGTGAAGAGAAAAAGAAAGGTAAATTGTGATTTTTAGTGCGGCGATGGGGCCACTGAGAGTTAATTTGTTCGCGAATTTTGAGCAAGGAAGTTGGGTACATATCAATGCCTCAATGGCCAATCTTTTATAAGGAGGAGAGGTATTTTTAATTTTACAATTATATATATTATACTCTTTTCTTTTCTTGTAGGGAACCTTTTGATTTTTTTTTATAAAATTGTTTTATAAAATTTCTAGTTTGTCTGTAATGGAATTGGACATGACATGAATCTTTTCTTGATTCAATCATTCATTTAATTCAATGAATTAATTAAGTTAATTTACTTTGAATACATTTTTGGATTACATTATCTTATTCCTTCTTGTCTCTCAAGTAAGCATAATATGGCCATCACTATTGTAATACTTTTGTAGAATTTTATATCAATGGAGTGATGCTTGTGGTAATAGGTCAGTTAGGATGTAGTTTGGTCTTTTCTATCTTCATTTTTGTAAAAAATAAACACTATTACAACATCTAATATAAATCAATTTTGATATTAATTATCTACTATGATATGAAATGGAGTGAAAGTGTTAGCTGTTTATAAGCCTAATAGGCCCATGTTTTGCCTGGAAACCTGGCCCAGAAACTTCACTTCATAAAGTACCAAAGCTATGTTAGAGCAGAAAGCGTGCTATAAATGTATACACCCAACTTCTAACATTCGCATCAATGATTCCTTATCTATCCTACAACTAGACATGTAATGTAAGGCCCACCGTGTTAACTATGACGCTGTCGGATTTGTACAGGCAAAAAAAAATACATAGTAAATTACGTATTTAGTCACCAATTTATTTTTATAGTTTCGTTTTGAACATTCGTCGTTAAAAATTAAATAGAATTACTGATGTAGAATTATTTTATTGTTTATTTAAATGATGATGTGACATTACCATTTATTTTTTAACGGATGGTGGCCAAAATAGAACAAAACCGCAATGTTAGATATGATTTTGGGGAAAAAAAGTTGAATGTCCAAAATGGGACTGTGAGAATAGATGGATAACTAATACGTAGTTTACCCAGAAAATATAGCCATACTTGATAGTTCAAAGCAGAGGCAGAATCATACATATAATATTCTTCAAACTTATGATCTGACTGAGCTTTTTATGGGAAACCAAAATGTTTGATGGGTATGAATCAAATATTACCCATAAAATCGTACACTAGAAACTCATGTATCAAATGAAAGGAGGAGTTATGACCTAAATAAACATTTTTCCAGCCAAATCGGTTGTTTTCTTATAAGTTGGTAAAAAGCTCTTTTTTTCCTGTTCAGTTTTTCACTTACCTTGGCATGCATGCTCCTTCTATTACTTTCTAAAGTTGTTCTTGTTTAGCTATGCAGACTTCTGTTCTTCCTTGTAGAATTCTAGCATTTTCCTAGTCGAGAACCTTCTCTCCGGTTGAAAATAAGTTCCAGACTAATGTGCCCATGATGTACAATGCAACCGACACCTTAAACACATCATCCCAGGAGCCTGCAATGGAAAAGTTTGTAGATGTTATTAATGAACTTGGTATGCTGAATTCGAGTTTAACTGAGCGTATTTCAACCGAACCTCGTTGGAGTATGTAGCCAGTAGCAGCTGTACCAAAAACACCAGCCAGCACCCCAGCAGTGTTCGACAGTCCTAATAGAACTCCCTGTTATAGACATAAACAACTTTCAGAAAAAGAAAAATGTCATTCTTGACAAGAAACAATGATGATCAAGTGAATTACTTAAAGAAAACCACATAGAGAATTAGAAAAATCCTTCCTAGTTACATTTATGTGAGGATTATCGAATCAATAAACTGATTTTACCATGTAAGCCTTAAGTGTTTGTAAAGATTACTTCAACCTTTTACATTTTTACAGAACTACGGTAAGAGCCGAAAATGACTAGGACATCAAAATCACAAAATGACATTTCTTTGGTTATTCATTCCACTATATTCTATTCTAAGGAACTCACAGCATAGCGTGGGCCAATGTCTTGGTGATTGGAATAAAGGCCTGACTGAGAGAATGCATCTGATCCCTGTCGAGAAAAAAAAATAATTTAGTGATCAAAATATCTCTTCCAGATTAGTTAGTGGTCGCCTGATTCTTTAACCTCAATAG